CATTCGTCCCGGGACAAAGCTCTCTAGACACGAGTGTACAAACGATAATTAATTTCGTCCCTGGATGATGCTCTCGGGAAAAATTTTGTTCAGTTCGTCCCGGACGAACTCAGGTTCGTCCAGATGAAGCTGCATTTTATTCAGTTTGTACTGGCAGTTCGTCCGTACTAACCATACAAATTTTCAAAATTTTCTTTAGTTCATCCAGACGGTTCGTCCGTACTAACAGCACAAAAAAAATTTCAAACATAAATTGAAAATTTAAGGGTTTCACATCCGGGTCAGCTTGAACCCGACCCGGTTTTATAAACGGGTCGGAATCTTGAACCCGACCCGTATGGCAAACACATTGACTAGATCCTAAAATTTTTTGAGTCGGTTTCGAGTCAGGTCAGATTTTGACACCCCTGAATATGTCTAGATCAAGCACTTGATGTGTAATTAGAAACTTCATGACATTAATTAGATGACCAAACTTCTATAGGTTAAACAATTTATAGCGATAGAGTGAGAGAGTTTTGCGCCTTAGGTTTGCATGATTATTCAACACACAAACAAATAAATAAATTATTGATAACACAAGAGTTTTTTATGTGAAAATCCCATAAATAGGAAAAACACATAGGGCCTTGCCCTGTTGAAATGATTCTACTATATGAGCGCCGATTATAAAGGTTTTGCACCCCCCTTTGGAGACAAAAGATTACAAGAGTGAGAGAGCTGATGAAAAGTGATGTGTAGTTGGTATAGGGTGACAAATGTTTGGATCTTTATGGCTAAGTGCAATGGTCTAAAGATGTTAGTTAGACACTGATATGGTCCAATAATAATGATTAGGCGGTGACAACGGTCCAATAATGGCGAGTGGGCATTAGTGGTTAAATGGTGGCGATCTAGTGACAACGATGGTTGAGTGAGGACGATCCAACGATGATGGTCAAGCAGTTATGGCTTAGCAGCTACAATCAGGTGGCAGTGGTTTAATAGAGATGGACAGGTGGTGAAGGTACATTGGAGGTAGTCAGGTATTAGTTGAATGGCAGCGGTCGGGAGGTGGTCCTATAATGTTGATTGAAAAATGGTCCAATAGTGATGATAGAACAATGAAGGTTCGATAGCGGCCATCACACGGTAGCTTGATGGTGGTGATCGGGCAGTGAACGTCAAAGACAGTGGTTGGGGGTGATCCATCGATGATGTTAAACGATGGTCTGATAATGGCACTTAGGTGGTGAAGGTTTAACGATGGTCGAACGGTGGTCCAACGATGATGGTTGGGTGGTGGTCCGATAATAATGGCATTCAAATGGAGCACTAGGATTCCTGGAGACTATGAGCCCTTTTGAATCTCTAGCATATGTTCCTCTTCATATGGAGAGGAAGTGTTATAAATCTAAAATTTTAAAAGATATAATTTGATCTATAACAGTAAAAATTTATTTTAGGAGTTATTATAAGTTTAAATTGCAAATTGTCTTCACCATAATGTAGATATTTTTATTTTCTAATTATAATAATTTTCCCTAATTTTGGGGCATTAGTGCAATTCCTTAAAAAATTGACATATATCAGTACAAATGAATTTTTTGAGGCCGTTAGGTATCTGTTTTATAAACTGGTTTCACTAGACTCTTTTAGACTTGCTTAACTAATTTATTAATATTTGTTTCATAACCTTTTAATCTTCGGATTTGAAGATATAAGAATTATAAGAATTTTTCACTAAAATGACCAACACATCCTTCCGAGATTTTATAAAATAAAAATATCTTATAGCATTTAAACTCATTCCCTTCATTTCGTTTAAAAGAGAATCATAAAAAAAAATTGAAATTGAGAGAAAGGAGAGGAGAGAGAAGAAGAAAAGTTAAGATTTGACAATCGTAGAGCCATTTTTATCCAATGCCCTAGTTGGATAATTTATTCATTTCGAGGTAGGTCACGTTTTGTCTATTTCAGTTTTCAATAATTTAGTGTTTTGGATATTTTTTGATCAAATTTATAATTATTATATCAAAAAATGAGGATAACTTTATTTTGGTAAAACTTTTACGTGTAACTTTTTATATGTTATAAAGATTGAGATTATAAATATTTTGAGTATTTTTTAAAAACTCTTCACGAGGTGATTTTGAAAAAGCAATAATTTTTATCAATTTAAAAATTTATTTTAACATCCTATTTAGAGTTAATCAAACATTACATGACGTATAATGAATAACTAAATCAAAATTAAAAACTCATTATACTCATGACCGTGGTCAAGCGAGTGAGGATCGTCATTGGGTGACATTGGTTAAAGGATAATAGTTAGGAAACTAAGATCAAAAGGATCATAGATAGTTGGCAATGGTTAAAAGGATTATGATTGGGTGTTGGTGGCTAGAAGGACCATAATTAGGCAATGGAGGTCAAAGAATTATAGTTGAGCGATAATGATTGGACAATATTGATAGAGTGGTGGTCTGATGATAACAAACAAATATTAATTCGAAGATGATGGTCAATCAATGTTTTGACAACAATGATCAACTCATAGTGTGAAAGTGTTGATATGCAATTTTTAATTGATGTTGGTCTAACGGTGTTCCAATGATATTGGTCAGCGATTGTCCGATGATAGTGGCTGGGCGGTGTTCCGATGATAGTGGTCAAGTGGTGATCTGATGGCAACGTTCGAGTGATGGTTCTATAATGGTGGTCAAGTAGTGTTTCGATGATTAAACAGTGGTCCAATCATAGTGGTCAAGTGGTATTCCAACTATTGTGATCAGATGGTGGTTCAATAATGATGCTCTAATGGAACTCTTAGTTTTTTAGAGCCTTTAGGCTATCTTAAATCTTAAGCTAAGGTCCTCACTATATGTTCCTCTTACATAGGGGTGTCAATATTTGACCCGACCCGAAAACCCGACTCGAAAATTTCACCCGAACCCGAACCGGGTCATCCGAACCCGAATCGGGTCGGGTTCATGTTAGGGATTTCTACCCGTTTGTAAAACTGGGTCGGGTTCGGGTTGACCCGAAAACCCGAAATCAACACGGTTTGACCCGTTTTTTTATTAATTTAGGAGGGTTTTAATGGATTTTTATGAAATAAATAAATGATATTTCAAAAAATTATAAATATTATTACTCAAATTAAATTAATCTTAATTTATTTTAAATTAATTGAAGTAAATCTTACTTTAATTTGATTTAGATTTAAATAAATTGAATTAAATAAAAAAATTAATAAAATATACCCGAATCGGGTCGGGTTCGGGTTGATCCGGACCCGAAGCGGGTCGAGTTCGGGTTCGAAAAATCGACCCGTTTGCAAAAACGGGTTCGGGTCAGGTTGAATAGTGTCGAGTCGATTTCGGGTTGAACCCGAACCCGACCCGTGACCCGGTTTTGACAGCCCTACTCTTACATAGAGAGTGAGGGGTATACAAATATGAATTATGATACAAATTTTTAAAGTAGGTATGAATTCTGATATAACTTTTTAAAGTAATCTGACCCTTTTAAGCTAAAGCTTAAAAATAGTTGACCATTCAACACAAATAAGCCAGCTTTGACCTTTATAATTACTTGCTTTGCAGCTGATGCATGCAAAATTGGATTAGGCTTCCCATAAATAAACCGAAATAAGTTATTTGTTTTGTATGCTAAAAAAATGTTTGTTGCTTTTGACCAATTCGAAGGTCTCTGTCAGAGAAAGATTATGAGGATGAATTATTAAGAAAATGCATTTTATAAAAATCATAATCCATAAAACACATTAATTTTCTATGATATTTATTCTATTATAATTACAACTATATTAGTATTTTATATTAATTATTTTTTAATTTATTTTAAAATTAAATTCAGATAATTTTTTGTCATTTTAAGTATATCAAAATTTAGGATTCATTTGAGAAAATTTTTGTATTGATTTATGAAGATTTTTTTTTTGTATAATTTTTTTTAATAAATAAATTTCTGTTAGAAAATTGATTCATAAAGCAGTAAGAAAGTTGTCTCATATAAAGCTTTAATAATTAATTTGAGTGTATAAATATTTCGTTATGTATATATATTTTGAAATTTAGATCAATTGAGGTAACTTTTCACACACATCACATACACAAGTTTCAAATTTGATTGGTAGCCAAAACTCCCAACTAACAGATTAAAACGAGTCGTGTTTATGTATATAATTGGTGCAGCTAAGGGTGCAAACGAGTCGAGCTCGAGTCATCCCTAACTCTGCTCTACTTGCGATCCAAATCTTGAGCGCAAACTTGAGTCTAGCTCAGAAGGCGAGCTCGAGCTCGGCTCGTCACTTGTGCCATTGAAATGAGCTACCCGAGCTGCTAGTCCTGTGGCTAGTCGAGCTCCAACGTGTCCGCTTCAATGTCCAGGCAAGCCTGTGTTTTAAATCGATCCCGCATCCGAGCTCTATTATGTGTGTGAACTCTGTCCGCGCCACCCATGTTCGAAAATCCGTTCTGCGTCTAAGCTCTGTCCCGCGTTCAAACTCCATACCGCATTCCGAGACCGAGCCCGAGTCCAAACACGCTGTGCCTTCCCGCCCGCGTCCAAGCATTTCTGCACTGCGACCCTGCTTTCCTGACAAATATTTTGTCCAAGCCCACCATTTATTACTTCACGCATCTGAGCCAACTCGCAAGTAATCAAGTTGAGCTTTGGTTGGATCGAACTCGAGCTCGATAATACAACAAACACGGAATTTTGCTTGAGCTCGATAAACTAAACCGGCAAACTCGTTAACAAGTAGAACTTGAGCCAACTTGACTCGATTGCACCCCTACATGAAGCTCATCATATTCTAACAAAAAAATTTTGTGTGCGAGCTTTATGTGTGAGATATGTTTATGAGTATGACTTTAATCGGCAAAAATGTCTCAAAAAAATTTATATAAAATGAGGTTATCTTATCGAGAGCCATCAGTTCACTGCCACGTGGAAGAAAACAGTCGTCTATTTTAATGATAGGCGACCAGATGCCGCCCGAAAGCTTCTTCTCCGCCTCCCCAATCAGGAAACGCTCGTGGACTTCAGAACGGCGACGCCGGCGAGTGGAAGCAGCTGTACGCACCCCATTGCTCTCACAGATTAGTAACGTTTAAAATCGCTGGTGACGAATTGATCACCGGCGCCGGCGAAGATGCCGACGGGGCAACAGCTGATCCAATACCCGGTGCCGAGTTACCCTCCGCCGGAATCGGAGGATGAGGAGTCGTGGGTGTGGACGCAGATTAAAGCGGAGGCCCGGCGAGACGCGGAGTCGGAGCCAGCTCTCGCGAGTTACCTCTACTCGACGGTTCTCTCCCATCCTTCCCTAGCTCGTTCCTTATCATTCCACCTCGCGAACAAGCTCTGTTCGTCCACGCTTCTCTCCACCCTCCTCTACGACCTCTTTCTCAACTCCCTTTCCTCATCCCCGACCCTCCGCTCCGCCATCGTCGCCGATCTCCTCGCTGCCCTCCATCGCGACCCGGCCTGCGTTTCCTTCTCCCACTGCCTGCTCAACTACAAGGGGTTCCTCGCCGTCCAGGCCCATCGGATCGCCCACCTTCTCTGGGCTCAAGACCGACGCCCCCTCGCCCTAGCTCTCCACTCACGCGTTGCTGATGTTTTCGCTGTCGATATCCACCCAGCTGCCCGAATTGGCAAGGGCATCCTTCTCGACCATGCTACTGGCGTCGTCATTGGCGAGACCGCTGTTGTCGGTAACAACGTTTCTATCCTACACCACGTTACTCTTGGGGGTACTGGAAAGGTCGGGGGCGACCGCCACCCCAAGATCGGCGATGGCGTTCTTATTGGTGCTGGAGCGACCATTTTGGGGAATATCATGATCGGGGAAGGGGCTAAGATTGGGGCTGGATCAGTCGTGCTCATTGATGTACCGCCCAGGACAACCGCTGTTGGTAATCCTGCCAGGCTCATTGGCGGGAAGGAGAAACCAGCCCGGCATGAGGACGTCCCCGGAGAATCCATGGATCACACCTCTTTCATCAACGAGTGGTCAGATTACATCATCTAAGGATTCTGTTTTCGCATTCATATACAGGCATCCCCTTTTTTCTACTTCAACTATTTAAAATTGTCTGTCCTTTATTTATCGGCAGCCGAGTGTTTAATCTGTTGCAGGGATGCATACATTTGTGCTTTTTTTACAAAATCTTGCATCTTTTTCACTTGATTAGGAGAATTTAATGACGATTGAATAGTCTGGTAGCTGTATCCATGTGTCTTTAGGGCAGCCTGAATTTTCAACTTACAGGAAAGATTGAAGAGATCATTTTTGTTTGCCATTACTTAAATATTTTTCCTTAAGCTAAAAACTTTTATATACCTTCTTGGGTATGGTTGAATGGAAAGCTTTGGTTTTCGGATTTTCTTCCTGGCTGTTCTGATTTATGCAACCTATATGTGATCTATTTTATGATTTTTAGCTGCGTGTTTCATTTGGCTAATTGGGCAACCCAATTAGTGCACGAGCTCCCACATATGTTCAGTTTTGAGGATGGGCTTTTGGATCTAATTTTTTCCATTTATTGCAAAATCGTTTCTTTCCGTAAAATTAATCTATAACCTCCATGGTATAATGAAACCAACCTGATCATTTCTCCTGGCTTTCTCTGTAAAGATGTGTAAGGATCTTTGTAGCCATTTTTAAACTTTTTTTCGAAGTTAGAACAACTTTTAGTGATCATACAAGGTTTCTAAACTGCTTTAGATTTAGACATACTTTGAAAGAAATAATTTAATTTGAGTTGTCTTTAGTGGAAGAACCCTCAACGGCCTAGGTTTGAGATTCTAGATCTGATTGAAACTCTTTGGGGCCTAATTTTCTATCTCGTTTCAGATCACTACGTCAAAAGTTAGAAGCAAATGAACTACTTTTACTTCTAAGATTTCACTCAAGAATAGAGAAGTGCAATCTATGTTAATAAGGATTTCCATTTCACCATCAAGACCAAGCATAATGAATCAAGAGCACCACGTAAGTACAAACATAGTTTACTTTTCAAATGAATAATGTGATGCATAATTTGTGAATCAATGTGGTGTGTTTGGTAGGGTGATGGAATCCTTGTAAGATAAAACTATTCCTTTTTTAAAAAACCTAGTATAAGTCCTCGTTTGTTTAGCCGTAATTTCTCCGTCTCCGGCTTGAATCGTCAAAAAAATTATTATTTTGATGTTTGTTAAGACGGTTTTTTCAAAATACTTTCTCCCGAACCTCCGTATTTTCGCCGATCTGAGAAGAAAAAAATTTCTATATTTCCCGTTCCGATACTTCCGTTTAAAAACGAACAAAAGAAGCCGGGAACCAAACTAAGCCTAAGTTGAAAGGACGAGCAAGGCCTTTTTTTCACCACCATCCTTTTTCCATTTCTCCTTTGGAGGACGTTTCATCATTTGAGGTGGGAGGACCTCCCTGTTGTGGATATATATTTCTACATCCTCATCTGAATTGTCGTTAGTGGAAGAACCCTCAGTGGCCTTGGTGTTAGGTTATGGGTTTGATTGAGACTCTTGGGAACCTGAATTTCTAGTCCCTTTCAAAAAACTACATCAATGGCTATATTATAAATATTTATGACTTCTTTCAATAATATAGATTATAGAATTGTAGTCAATATAGATTAGCAATTCCCATTTCGCCTCCAAGACTAACATAATAGATGAAGAACATAAAACTAAATAGAGTACAAAGGTAGGTCATTTTTTCATTGGATAGGGTGATACAAAATTTGTGAATAGATTTGTTGCATTTGGTAGGGTGTTGGAATCTTTGTAAGAGCATAGCTATCAACTTTTTGAAAGAAATGGTTTCAGTTGATAGGATGAATTGGACAAGAATTTTGGTAGGATGATGGAGACTTTGAAACAGAATCACATAACTCTCAGTTTTTTTATACAAGTCATTTAAGTTAATATGAAGAAAAGGGCGGGCATTGTGGAATGCTTCTGGTGTGGACATGGATAGGTTGAGCATAACTGGAGGTAGAATTTGCCTAAAATGATGTTTATTATGAGTCTGCTTAGTGCATTCAATAAATTCATGCATTTTCAATGTGCTTATGTAGCCACATTTTGGTGGGCAGTATGGGAGGGTGATGGAATCATGATATGCTAGATTTTGCATTTGCTTGATATATCTAGCTTTCGTATTTTTTCTTATTGATTTGTATTTCACATTTTCCCCTTGTCAAGTTGGCTCTTAAAGATAAATTTTTGCTTTTTTTTTTTGGAACGGGGATATCTACCTACTGCCACCCCCAAAGGAGGCGTATGATGGCATAACTAATCCCTCTGTGGGCCTACCAGCAATCAACCCCATAGGTGCAGGGTCACACAGTTATTTTATCCCCACTTAAGGAGTCGCACCGCATGAGAAATGAATCAAACATGGGTTGTGGGGTTCCCAACCATGCTCGCCGACCAACTTAGCTATAAGCCTGGTGGGGTAATTTTTGCACAATTTAATAAATTCATGCATTTCTTACATGAAAGGCTTCTTGCCCTTTCCACTAGGGCTGCTATCTTACTCCTCACCAATTTCTTTACAACAATAGCTTCGTCAATAATTATGTAAGTTTGATAAGTCAACATATGCTTAACTTTCTTACATGAACTGAGCTCTTCAGTATTTATAGGAGTAGTGAAAGGGGAAATATTATGTGCGGACTCCAAACACAGAGGATCGTATGGATTATTGGTTATTTGTTGAGTATTTACTGTTTATTTTAAAATACGATGTAAATACTCAGTAAATAAGTAACAAATCAGCAAAAGTTAGCAAATGCTCAACAAATACTCACAATTGAGGATTTGCTGAGTATTTACTATGTATCTACAAATACATAGTAAATCCGAACGATCCTCTGCATTCGGAGTCCGCACAAGGCGCACATAATAATTTCTCGTAGTGGAAGGAGCAAAAGTTGATAAATTAGGAGAAACATAAACAACAATGTGCGACATAAACAACTTCATCAATAATGTTGGTCGCTTCAATAAGAGTTGTTCTCAGGGCAGTTTGCCTCTTTAACTTCTTATTGGTTTCTCCTTCAAGCGTAGCCTTTTATTTGTTCTTGACTTCATTATAAAAAGTCTCAACTTCCGGGTCATCAGGAATACTAGCGGTAATCGACATGCTTGTGAAAGTAAAAGAAAGGAAAATTTTTGTTAGAATTTGGTACTAAAAAAAAAACGAGCATAAGCAGTAATATAAAATAACTCAGTAAAGACAGCAAGCCAAACTCTTACTCTACTTTGTTCAGTAGTTCATATGTTGGAAGGAGTAGGAATTGCTAATTTCTCCTTGTAATAAGCCGACTTCACGAAGTAAAGTTTTCTTGCTTCCAATCTTTAGCCTTATTCTTAATATTGTTGATTCTAATATGCTTAAAAGGAGAAATTATTTTGTGCGGACACCCGATGAAGAAAATCGTTCGAATTTGCTACGCTTTTACTTCATTTTTGTAAAAAGAATAACAAATATTCAATTATGAATGTGTTTTTACTGCACTTTTGCTATCCTTTAGCAAAAACGCAGCAAAAGCGTAACAAATATTCAATTATTTAGTAAACGCTAAATATTTGTTGCCCTTTTGTAAAAGCGCAACAGAAGTATAGTAAAAGCGTAGCAAATTTGTACGGTTCTCTCCGTCCGGTGTCCGCACATAACTAAATGGTCAAATTATTGTATTTAAACCCGTGAAGAACTTCTATAAACCTTATAGGATCACTCATCACAAAGGATTTAGAACTCTTGATTAAAGCTGCCATCATATTTAGAAGAAAAATTAGAATCTTGATCTGGCAATTGAAGAACGAAGGAAGAAAAATTAAAAGCTCAAAAATACGTGCAGCAGAGTTCTTAGGCTCTAAGGGCCTTATTTATAGAAAATTGAACAATATTGTGCTCACATAAATGGGTCACGTTACCTCCTTAACATTAAATTAAAAGTCTGAAAAATGTGATTTTCATGATTATTTTTCAAAATTTTCTCATCATCACAAGAAGTATAAATGATGCTTAATTTGTTGATCAAACAAATTATTGTTATAATAATAAAAATATAAAAAAGTATTTTAAAATTAAATTTTAAATTTATGGTTGAACTGGAGCGCCTTGTGATCGTTGAGGCCAGCGCCTTTGAGCTTAGCGGCGCCGAAAATCGTTGTCGTGTCATTGAAGTCTTTGTTCTACAACAATTCTAGATTCAATATGCGGCGTTGTGGCGTTGGGTTGAGCATTGCGGTACTAGGCCACTAACACTAGGTCACTAACAATGTTTTTATATATATCAAATCCTAAATCCTTAGCCATTTCCTCTGCCAATGACGTGGCTTGCTCGAGAAGAAAAGAGAGAAGGGAGAGAGAGAAGACAGGGAGAAGAGAGAAGGCTAATTTTTGGTTGTTTTTGTCCGTTGCTTCTATTATAAAAAGTATTATGATCGTAGTGAGTAACACGAATCTTGCTTTAGTTTTTAATTGTTTTGATTTTAACTAATTTAATCTCTCCTAAAAAGAGAAAAATGCATTATCTCCTTATTTATCACTTTTTTGTCATGTAACTTTTTGTACAAGATAGACGCAGATTTTATGGATATTTTAAATGTAATATTATTAAATTTTACTTGTTAAATTGAAGTTGTGATTTTTTGAAGTTATTGATAATTATATAATTTTTTTTGGATTTATAGATTTTAGTATATCATATTGCATTTCTTACATGAAAGGGAGATTGATACAAGTAAGGGTGTCAAAATCGGGTTGTAGGTCGGGTTTGAGTCGAGCCTGACATTAGCTCGCCACTAGATGACATGACCTGAACCCGACCCATTTTTGCGTATGTGTCAGAAATGTCAATCCGGATCCGACCCTTCAGGTTTTCGAGTTATCTCGACTTGACACGAAGATGGTTTCGTTTGTAATGAGCGAGCTCCCTCCCGTGACCCTTAGGCGTCGTCGTCACTTCTGATCCAACTAAAGAATGGCAAGCTATCGTGAGTCTCGTGACTTCCGAGCTGACAAGAAGGAATGTCGTCGAAGGAGCCAACGAAGAAGTCATCGCGCGAACGTCTTTAGGGTTTGCGGGCGGAGTCGACATGAGCAAATGCCGTCGAAGGAGCCAGCGAACGTTGGTAGCAGGCGGAACCGATAATAAGGAACGTAGTCGAGGAGCCAGTGAACATCTTAGGGCTTGCAGGTGGAACCGCCAAACTGGAATGCGGGAGAAGAGGAAAAGCGGTCTACTGTACGCCGAACCGAAACGCAGGCGTCGCTTGTGCTTGTGTGGGTTGCTCCAGATCAACTTCGAGTTAGTGGGTTGACTCAGACCCGACTCATTTTTTCAAACGGGTCGAATCCTAGAATCCGA